AAAGACTTAGATCTTACAGATCTACATTCTAAATATTATCTTACTATTAACATATTCCATATTTCTTTTTAGATGTATTAAAACACTACTCAAGCTTAAAATATAGTAAAGTAAACAAATCAAATTGGTGTATAAGGTAAATACAATTGAAAGGTCCTTCTTAAACACTTTAAGATACTGTCAGCAAAATATTCTTTTTCAAATATTTTATTCTTTTCGATTAATCAGTCGATTTTCATCGTGGTAGCAAAACATCAATTATATCATACATTCAAGTAACTGAGTAAGTCCAAAACCCCGTAAAAATAACGCAAAAAAGACTTTAAAAAAGACTTTGGAATTCTACTGTAAATATTTTACATGAAATTAAGCAATTCAGTCTTTTAAATGCTTATTTAAAAAAAACAAGTTCTCTCTTCAGGTGTATCGTTTGAACATTAATGATACATCTAAATACCCGGTATACCACAAGTGTCTTGAGAAGCTTTCGTGCAACAGTGCAATAAATTAAAAGGATCCCACCAAATCTGAGAGCTTCATATTCATTGTTACATTGATTTCTAAACTAGCAAATAATCACTTTCTTTTCTGACCAGCGAACGTCTCGCGGAACTTGAAACACTATATAATTAGGAATAACATAGTTTAAACAAGTTTGTCAGAAAGTCGAGACGACCAGGCGCCTCAGAAAACCACTCAAACTGGATTCAACATTTTACTCATAAAAATGCCATTTCTAATGATACAGTGTATAGTGCATGCAACCGTGACATTTGGAAAAAAATGTCATAATTTAACAAAAAATAAAATCACTGTACTTAAAAAAATATTTAAACGGCAAATTTTTTCTTTAACTTCATCACGTTCAGAAGTTTTTTACTATTAGTATTTCAAAGTATATTTGACATGTGCACGTCCAAATTTGAACATTCTTTTATATTTAGTAAATGGAAAAATGATTCCATTTTTAGTATAAACCGTACATAACGCGTAGTATACACATCCTTTACATATCTAGTCTATGTTTGCATTGATTTTTTATATAAAATAATTCTCATATTCTGAAAGTTTTGCTATTGTTAAGTTCATTATATTAACAGCAAAGCCTTATTCCATAAACAATATATAACTGCAAATCCTAATCAGCTTAAAGCAATTCAAAGTTATTTAATTCATAACAAAACGTTACCTTTCTATCTCTCCATATAATTTGTGTTTAGAGATAATATAGATGCATATAACGCAACAAGAAAAAAAAACGAAATGTGGTTTAATGTGTTTGTTTGTCATTTGTTGTTATTAGTGATATATTTGTTTTATCATCAATTAAAAAAATATACTGATTAAATTTCATAAGCATTATTCATTAGACACATTAGATTGTGTAGCTAGTACACCTTATTTCAAAACATCTCAGGGAATATTGCAACAAAATTGATAGGAAATGTCAAAACAAACCGCTTTCCAATACATATTTAAAAGAGTTCCTAAATTATTATTTAGAATCTAATTTTTTACTTTTTTTTAATTGTTTTCAAATTATAAATGAGCTGTTTTGCATTCAACATTGAATTAATTACAAATTAATTCTGTAATTTACAGTGTCATCCATAAATACCGTTACTCCTTTGGCATGCTATGAAAAAGCATTTGACAAAGTTAAATATTAATATTTGTGCAATATCATAGTTATTTGCTTCATGATATTGCAGGTTGGCCAGTGGTATGTTGTCTCTATTTGCTCTTATTGGAGTAATGAGCATTTTCTAAGTGGTTGAGGTCTGTTGACTGAAGCTGTCATAATAAACACACATTATTGCACAACCCTGACTCCACATAGTTTCTTTGATGATCCTGTGACACAGTGCACCGTTATTCGTGTACGATTGCGTGTTGATGTGGTCCAACAAATGCGTGTAAGGAATAGAAATACCGTTCGACCGACCGTCAATGTATTAATGATTAAACTTTCTTAAGTTTGCAACAATAATGATGTTACAATGTATCACATGGTTCATACGGTATTATAGTGGAAAGAAAATCATGTTTGTTTGTCATGGCAACTTCAGCTGCCAGACCTAAATCTCTGTAAAAACGTATGGTACGGCAATAAAGACAGTGGAAAAAGACACTTCTGCGGTTCGAAAGGTCTTGAATAAAAAAATATTCGTGTAGCACAAGGTGTGAGGCAAAACATTCAAAATACTGAATAGTAGAAATCTTATATTTTTATCATTGATACAACTGACATTTATTCTTAATAAATGTGTGCGTTTTAGATGTACATGTATTATATAGAAAATACCTTTGCTAATCTTCTAAACCTGATGTGATTAATGTGACTATTCTGTTATTTCCTTTATTGAATATTTAAAGTACATTGTTACCCCCAGTATTTTAATTTACTTCAGTAGATTTATTTTAACACAGGTTCGCATCTGGGGTTCAAATTAGCAAGGGTATCTAAGATTTGTATGTGTAAATAGTAATTCAACTTTTTAGTCTCTTATAGATCTTAAACATTGGCTATTTGCATTCATATTGAATTTTATATGTATTTTATTGGTGTACATTGATGAGACTCTAATAAACTAATATATATATGCAAAAGAAAAAATAATCTGTTTAATATTATATGTTATAATGTTATTGTTCAAAGTGTAAACATGTATATATTGACATAATTTTTCATTATAACTCTTTTGTATTTATTATAGTAACAATCATTTATAATTTATACTTAAATAATATAAAAAGTATTTCTGAAATGGATGAATTCTCCGTATCGTCAACCAAAATGTATTTTTCAAGGGATGTAAAGGTATTTATGGATGACACTGTGTCGATGTCTATAACCGTGTCATGTAAAATAATAGAGGAAACTAGAACTGCCACTATCATGGCGTGAATACCCCCGCATACCACTTTGTCAGAATCAACGGTGGCCATTTAGAGCTCAAGGACAACCTCCCTGCCAAATCTGAGGTTACTAAGCCAGTGCATTGCTAAGTTATGTATTCTACATGCTTCAAATGTGAAAATGTCAAAATCAATACATTGCGGACAGGACATTCTTTAACAGTTGAGAAGAAAAGCTTTTTTTTGTCAAGGTCCCTGTGACCTTGACCTTTGACCCAGTGACCTCAAAATCAATATGGGTCACCTTATAGTCATGATCAACATCCATGCCAAATATGAAGACTGTGGGTCAAAGGAATCTTAAGTTAATGGGTGGACAAACTTTTTGAAGTCAAAGTCCCTATGACCTTGACCTTTGACCCAGTGACCTCAAAATCAAAAGGGGTCATCTACTAATCATGATCAACATCAATGCCAAATATGAAGACTGTGGGTCAAAGGAATCTAAAGTTATTGGGCAGACAAACTTTTTTGAAGTCAAAGTCCCTGTGACTTTGACCTTTGACCTCAAAATCAATAGGGGTCATCTACTAATCATGACTAACCTCCATTCCAAATATGAAGACTGTGGGTCAAAGGAATCTTAAGTTATTGGGCGGACAAGCTTTTGGAGTCAAGGCCCCTGTGACCTTGACCTTTGACCTGGTGACCTCAAAATCAATAGGGGTCATCTACTAATCATGACAAACCTCCATGCCAAATATCAAGACTATGGGTCAAAGGAATCTTAAGGTATAGGGCGGACAAGCTTTTTGAAGTCAAGGCCCCTGTGACCTTGACCTTTGACCTGGTGACCTCAAAATCAATAGGGTCATCTACTGATCATGACTAACCTCCATGCCAAATATGAAGACTGTGGGTCAAAGGAATCTTAAGTTATTGGGCGGACAAGCGTTTTGAAGTCAAGGCCCCTTTGACCTTGACCTTTGACCTGGTGACCTCAAAATCAATAGGGGTCATCTACTAATCATGACTAACCTCCATTCCAAATATGACGACTGTAGGTCAAAGGAATCTTAAGTTATAGGGCGGACAAGCTTTTTGAAGTCAAGGCCCCTGTGACCTTGACCTTTGACCTAGTGACCTCAAAATCAATAGGGTCATCTACTAATCATGACTAACCTCCATGCCAAATATATGACGAATGTAGGTCAAAGGAATCTTAAGTTATTGGGCGGACAAGCTTTTTGAAGTCAAGGCCCCTGTGACCTTGACCTTTGACCTAGTGACCTCAAAATCAATAGGGGTCATCTACTAATCATGACTAACCTCCATGCCAAATATGAAGACTAAGGGTCAAAGGAATCTTAAGTTATTGGGCGGACAAGAAAAAACCGACGGACAGCCGGACGGACGGCCGGACGGACGGCCGGACGGACGGACGGACAAGCTGATTCCAGTATACCCCCCTTACAACTTTGTTGTGCGGGGGTATAATGAGAACACACATTTATGTTTGTAGGTATTTTGAAAACTTTATACATCTATCAAGAGTCCTAAATTCAATATAGAATTGCAAGAAAGAAAATACATTAAGTGCTCATGTGGTGGGGTATGCATTATATTTTAGATCATATAGATGTGTTTGAAAAAAAAATTATCAATGTTCCAAGGTACCAATGTTTCTTTTATTGGTTGGAAGTGGCAGAACTTCGAAGTTCATGTTTTCTTTCAAGACATTTGAGAGTAAGCATTCCTTTTCCTTCCTATTACGTCATTAATAAAACATAATGAAGCATTATAATATGATCATAACTTATTGTCAAGCTATCTTTATGCAGACGAACGAGTGCAGAACAGCAAATTAGGGTGGATTAAAAACTAAAATTGTTGTATCATTCATGCGTACATCATAAAATTCATTATTTATATATTTGTACCTGAATTAACACCTATGTACCTAATAGACACTGGAATTTTTGCTACATATAACAATTTATTACTTATTTTTTCCAGAGTATTTTGGTTTAACACAACGTGATAATGATCTTCCAAAACATCAAACTGATCTTAAATGACACTTTGTTTCACTTGGGACACCCCATAGAAAAAGCAGGACAAAAAGAAAAGATGTAACACCGTTGTCAAGGTAACAAAATTGTATTTTTAAAATCCTGACATTATGACAAACATCAGTATGCATACATTTACAAAGATAACGAAGTTTGATAGGTCTGATATATGTCCTATCACGAAGTTTAGGGTCTCTATGATACAATCTTGCTAGATAGTATCTCTGTATAAACGACATAAAATGTATATATACAACATATCTTCTATAATGTAATAAAGTAAAAAAAACAACAACATAATTATCTATGTAAAGTAGCACTTTAGATCTACAACCACACTTGTAATCATTTGCTCTTAATGACCAATCATATAATTGTATTCTTATACACAGAACTTCAAAGATCTCAGAAAGTAAGTTTTAACACTGTGCATAATCCAAATGGTCAAACAAAACAAAAAGAGTAAGTGGTAAAGGATTTTTTGTAAGAACTGTAAGTTATTTGTAGAACATTATATAGTAGGAGTCCTTTTCATACTAGTTCTCTATCACGTTTTCAATAGAGAAATATAAAAAGTGTAAAAAAATGAAATAAAAATAGAAATTTATTAATTTCAAGATAAATAATTGAACCAAAAACATATATTTTAAAATCAAATTTGTTTTTAAAAATATCTTCTCTTTTATTTCCTAGATATTAGAGTATTTTCTCAGTCATGACTGTATTTTGTTTCAAAATATTCCAAATTTAAAACTTTCATTAATAAGAAGAAAGATTTATTGAAGTAATGTGGAAATATTCAAAAATTTTTTTTTCGAGAAAATCATTCACTACAGTTAATGTTGCGAAAAAAAACCCACTAAATATTAAATGATTCCATTTTGAAAAAGTACTGCACAAAATTCAAATCGATATACTAGTATTATCATCGTTACAATGTCGAACATGAAAGTCATTTCAAAATGTTTTCATTCAAAAGAAAACATTTCAATTAGAGGTAAATTGAAAACACATGGAAATATAAGTGAACAGATTTTTTATATGACAAAAGGAAACAAAACAATTTTTGAGATCATGTCTGAAACACTATAGTTTGTCTTGCTTGCACATGATATAACATATATAAATATGCAAACAATGAATGAGCGATTTGTGCAAGAAATTCTACCCCTAGTACCCTAAAGTATCTCACAAATTTGAAATGGAAGTTTACGATATACATTTTTCAACTTTATTGCACATTTGTGATTAATGATAAAAATTTAATGTTCATCATATGACAGTGAATTCATCTGAACGGTTATGTGTTCCCCCTTCCTCTCAGTATAGGTATCAGTTCTGAAGCATTTATAAGACAACACAATCCTATTTCTGGTAGCATTGCAGTATCTAATATAGAAGAGAGCAGTTTGTGCCTTAGCATTACTATTAGGTCATTACTTAAATATTACAATATAAAATGAGGAATAGGTCAGGTCATTCATCATATAATCAACTTAGATAAAAAAGAAATCTGAAATGTTATATCAGTTACTTATATAATCGAAATCAATACATTGTAAAAATATGCATTTCTTTTTTGTTTATATGGAAACGTTTTAAATAGAAGATATTTCATAAAACCAATTCACAAATGAAGCACAAAATTTCACATTTGAATGAAAATGAATCACCATTAGACACTGTATTTTACCAAGAATAAATGTAAAATTATATATATCTAAACAATACAGTATGTGATATGCATAATGTTTATTATAAGATCGAGACAAATTATGTCATGAAAGGGGTAAATACATTTATATATACGAGATTCACGCGTTTTCCCTGATACAAATGAATTGGCAATCAATAACCCCATTTTTAAATAACTAAAACCTTCCAGCAAGTCCTCCTTCTTTGAATATGTTACTATATATTTACTTAAAATCATTTCTTCTCTTATATTTTAATTAATATTTTCAAATATTTACAATTTCAATAAGTAACTTTGTAATATATCTATGTCATAATTAGAAAACAATACAGTGTACAAACATTTATGGTGAAAGGGTGTCTTAAATTGTCATGTAATTTACTGTAGCAGCTCACTTGTTTGTATAAATGAAGACTAGAGACTATATTTTATTTGTTGTTAGTTGCTGTCAACACACATATATACATGTATATAAACTAAGCATTATATAAACAGAAGAGGTATCACTAATCACAATGGAAACATTGTTATATATACCCTCATTTATGTTCATCAAATATCAGGTTTAAGTGTAGAAAAAAAACAAAGCATAAGAACACACTCTCAACCTGTCTATATTTATATTCAAAGACTGCATTGGTTGTGTAAGTCATGTGGAAATATCCTTTCATATAACAACATAAAAACCAATCACACACATGCGCACGAGCTCACATACACACAGACATTTTAGTTACAAAATATTATGTCAAAATTGAGTATGTATAGGTACTTTTGTATTGCAAAATAAATTGCAAGTGAATAAAATATACATAAAATACATATGAAATTACAAACGTGTTATTTACAAAATGTATAAGAACCATTTTTCAAAATTTGTCTAAAACATCTACTGAGCCTCTAAACTAACCTCTCATTCAGTACTATATGTAATTTGTATGAATTTGAATATTACACGGTATGACTGCATCATATACTATATAAGATCAGTGTAAGATGCATTCTCCAGAGCAAAACAAATATCTCATATCAAGTGCAGCATATCTAACTACTGGCATGAAGTATTAAGTGCAACATACACCGTATTTGTCTTGATATAATATAGGTAATGCAGATACCATACAGCCTTTCATATCAACACATTATAGTTATTTGGACAAACTATTGTTAAGTGTTCACAATATCCCCCATTTCTGCACATCATCATTTAATTGACACTTTTAGCATTTTACATCCACAACCAACTCATAAGTTAATCTATGATAAGTAATATCACTTTCTGCAGTTGTTGCCAAGCATATCTGCAAAGAAATACTACTAAGTAATAAAATACATAATGTAGTCGTTGTTTTATACATGTACTTGTCTTTATCTCATTTAATTGTTGTTTTTGTTTGTTAAGTTTTTCTTTTCCGATCATCTTTAAGTCACTTTATTTACTAAGCGCCTTTAGCTTGAGAAATAACGCCTTTTGAATAAAAACTACATTTACAGACAAAGATTCCATGTATCAGACTTTGTTATCAATCAATTAGTTGTTTAACTATCGGCATAGTACACGACAGAAACGTGTTTGATGATAACCTCGTTGTCTGTAGCGATATGGACCGACACTTAAGTCACCGATAAAATCCATGTTTTACAGCAGTTCTAATAATCTCAATTTCACTGTTAATGCAATGTTTCTTGTGGTCAATGTTGACCTCAATCAAGCAAACAGCACTATATGGCACCGACCATGTGCAGTAATGGAGGGGATATATTTTATGACTTCTCAGGGCTTGCAGGAACTCCAGACGCCACAGACTGTTCCGTCCGTACAGACGATGCAGCATTTGCTTGGTAATAGTACTGAGGATCTGAAAACATTAAACAAATAAGATTTAGCAAATTTATATGACAATAAACCGATTATTTAATGGGCATATCAACACCTATATTATATCATTCCATAAGAAGATACACATTCTTCATCTAAATATTAACATAGAAAAAAATGTTTGTAATTTAAAGTACACGCATCATTCCATATTGCTTCAATAATGCTTTATTTAGTTAAAAAGTAACATCGCGAGACAACAACACTATATAAATCATCTTGATCATATACATCTAACACTACAGAAAATAATAAATGTCACGAATCCATTGCCAGTCAATAAAATGACTTTAAAACAAATGTATAATCATCTCATGATAAAATGCCTATAATCCACTTTCGCAGCTTGTGGCCAATTAAACAATAAAACTAACGCATACATAAGTTAACGATGAAGGATTTGTATTACTTTGCTCTCGTGTCTTAAGAAAACCAAATTATTCAGATGCAGATTGATGAGAAGTTATGTCGTCTGCTGAGATTATTTATTGTTTCAACTTCCGGCCAAATCTCATATGTCAGTGAATTCATATCTTGCCAGAAATTATCTCTTTGTCTTGAACAATTTATTTTGATTTGTTCGGTCATGCTTTGCTGTTATTTGTAATGATATTTTTGAATACTATATTTTGGTGAAATTGGACTGTTTGTATTATTTGCCTAAATCAATACAATACAATACAATACAATATTTCTTTATTTTGTCAAGATTACATATAATGTAACAACAGACAATTTACAAATAATATCAGTATTATAACATATGTGGGTTAACAGTTTATATAGAACGAGACATGCAAAAATATTTCGAAAACAACAGTTTATAAGAATAACGTGTCTAATGTTATGAAAGTTTTGATTAAATAGCTTTTACCAGGGGAACAGTGTAAAAACCGGGCATTTTTGCATGTACACAAATAAGTTCTATTTAGAGTAATTATACAAGTCAGTTTCTCCCAACTAGTACTTTATATCTAGCAGTTTTCATACTATAAAAAATTGGAGACATTAGAATAAAACTAACAGTATCTATACGTTCGTAATAATCTCAAATAACTGTATAAATACAAAGACACGATTTACTATTGTGTTGCACGATTATTTTGTAGTAATCATGTCAGTCTAGGAATTTCATTCATAAAGTGGATTTAGTCGGTAGCGTTGACCAATCAGAGTAAATTTTACCTGGCGAGTTGTTTAATTTTATTTATAAGAAGAAAGCAACTTATTGTTTCAAAATATATGAAAAAGAAAACAAATTATTTTTAAATATATATATAATAAATAAATATAATTTTTTTATATCAAAAATGGGCGGGCATGTTTGAAAATAGCTAAAAATATAAGGGGTTTTGTTTTTATTTTTATGATTATTTTTATTATCATTTTTATAATTATTATTTATTTATTAATTTGTGAATTTGGGTTATATTTGTAATGTTGTTACAGGAGGAGTATATAAGTATTGGGCATTTTAACGAAACTTACATAAAAATGAAAAGCTTAGTTGATAAAGTAAATAAATTGCCGAAAGGTATTGAAATGTTTATTTAACTTTTTTTTAACAGACTGTTTTTACGGTACATTTTTATACAAAGGTACTAAATTTAATGATCTAATTGTGCGTGTTCCGGAGATATAATTAACGACATAAGTAATAATGTCTAGTGAACTGGTTGGCTAGCACAAATGGTCTTCAGTCGGGCACGGAGCAACGCTATGATAACGCTGTGATAACGCAACCAGTCAAACATAATATGATTATAAATACCTTATTGCCCACCATTATAATATGCTCACTGAATTAATTGTTCACATTTATATAAAAATGTATTACGTTCAATCTCACAATAGCGAAACTATTGGGATTTCTTCCATGACATTTTCAATATTCTTATTTAAGACTTCATTAAGAGTGGTTGTTGCAATGTGTTAGGAATATTCAAGGAGCCAGCTCCTGCACTGGAATTTGAAATGTTTGAATTTGAAATGTTCGAGTTTTATGCTTAACAGCTTAATACGAACGGATATAACTGTACTTATTTACTTGATTGTCTATTTCGTTAGTTAATTTCAGGACATTTCAGTTAAAACATGGAAGCATTTATATATTTTAAAATAGTTTTGGATTACGTGTACAACAATTTTGGGGTATAATAAAAGGACACTAATTCTTCCAACCATCAAGTCTGTACTTGTTCTTTAATAGTTATAACCTTAATTTATAGTTTTCTGGCGTATCTTTTTCCTTTCATAGTACTTACTTATGATGCCACTTGGCCCGTATCTGACTGCAGCCGCCCATTGAGGGTCACTGTATGGATTAGAATTATATTGAGTATATGGCACCGAGGTCTGGTAGTATTCGCTGGTATTTCCTGAAATAGACAAGTTGCAACATTTGTAAAGGAATGTTTTGGCATATTTTTTCCGAAAAGTCAACACAAAACGTCGCTGACATCATACATTCATCTAGCTTTTTATTTTTCAAATAGAATGCGTATTACAAATATCTTATATTTTGAAACATGGTAAGTTTTATAACCAAAAAAAAATTGGAAATATTCACAGGCAATAAAATGAAATATTATCTTCGACACATGATTTTCAAAGGTTTAGTGATACAACAAAGAGAAATACGTTTGAAATTCAAGATCAATTTATTCACTTTTTTTTGACAGTTCAAAAATATAAAGCATTCTTATCTTCAAAATCAAATATACCTGTGCCAAAGAAAAACAAAGGGCTTAAAACTGCAGAATAATTGTTATTTGTTTTAGATTTTTTAAATTACAATATCATTGTTTTCTCTCTCTTCAAACTTCCACATGCTTACATACCTAAAACAATTGAAAGTAGTGCCAAAATACGGGATCGTTATCATATACAATCTCAAAAGTACAAAATAAACTATTGAAACTTCTATTTTGCATTTAGAAATAGAAATTTCATAAATTAAACAAAATATAACAAATTGAAAATTTTGCAAAGAAAATACTCATTTTTGCATTTTTACAGAGCACATCTTTATTTTCATGTCACGTTTATAGTACTAGTATATAGTATATTTGCTGATAATGGACATCCAAAATGTGAAAATACAAATACAAAAAAAACAAAGTTATCAATAAGATTCACAAGGAGCCAGGAACTGACAGGATTTGGCCACTTGTATATAAGAGCACATTAGGACAGACGGTACTCATATGGAAATGCCACCAGAAAATGTTATTCAAAGTGTGCAACAGTAAAAACCTTGCCAATAACGGGAAAGAAGTAGTAACAGAAATATCAAAATAACATTATTGTCGCTTTCACTGTGTTCCCCATCATCACTGCATTATCTCTGGCAGATCATTTGATTAATGTGCTGAATATTAATTTAGCAATTTGTTTTCTTCCTCCACTGTTTGCCTTTGTGGAGTAATAAACAAGTCATTCTAGACAATTATCGACTCTGTTTTACAATAAGGGCTTATCACATGCTTTTTATACGCAGATTGATGCTAGATCGTCCAAGAAGTCTTTTCTAGACAGATAGGAACTTATTGATCATAATGTTCGTGCTCATAACAAGATATTATTCATGAATGTGCGAAGGAACACATAAATGTACAGAAGTTGGTTATGCATTATTACAATACAAGTGGCAAAGAAATATTCATAACAGCAGACTTGTACTATACAAAATCATTTAAAGATATCAGTTTTTCTACACTAAGAGTAAATTCCCTGTTTATTCGTAAAAATATAGTTTAAATAGTTGGGCTAGACTAAATTCATTTTTCTCTTCGGCATATTTGCAACTGCTTTCTATCTTTTATGAATTTATTTATGAAGTGAAACAAGCTTTTGTTTAAATTGCTAGTGAAGACAGTAAGTCCTGAAACTACAAGGAAATTGGCATCGATACTAGAAAGTAACAACTTTTGTCTTATCTGTTACAGATTATCCAACTTGGAGAATAAATATTTGCTCTAAATTTTCCGAAACAGATGAAGACAACTTAAAAACCAGACAAGGTCTATCCTATCTTTTCACTCAATCTCCTGTAGTTTCCAACATCCAAATTTTGTAGATTTATGACCATGTTCTTGTCGTCCTATGGCACATATCAACATCTATTCACTAGTTTTTCATTCATAATCTCTGTATAATATCTTACTAACGTTCACATCAAACGGTTTAGCAGACCTACAATCTAGTAATCTGACGTGATTGTGGAAAGAATTGAGAAATACTGATAAGTCATGCTTCGTGGCGTTTACAATATTCTCACAATGGTACATCTTGAATTGGAAACTCTATCAGAATGATGAAATTTCCTTTTCCGTAAAGCCATAATGTCAAGAAAATTAATGAAACGATATATCAATATACGCAACTTTTAAGTTCACAACTGGAACGGCTTGATAAAAATGTAGCAAACAAGCTTAATGACACAAATGAGAGAAAAAGCCTAAAAAGCAAAGTCCGAATAGAGATGAAAGACTATTTATCTGAAAGGAAATAATTAATGCGAAGTTTAATAACTGCAGAATACGCATTTTAACTATCCCGGAAAATTATTTTGTACACAACACACAACGCCTGTATGTAAATTTCTAAGTAAATAATAAAGGAAAAATGTTGCTGTTTACGACTTAAATAAGAGAAGCTACTGTTGTAGAATTTAATGGTTATGGAAAATAGAAAGGAGTGCGTTTGGTTGACACCATTCTACATGTCAAAATCAACTTTAAATGTAGATATGGATGAGTATTATACAAATGGAAAGTTGTCCTGAGAGTGAGAACGATAATCACCATGACGATGACTTCACTAACAGGTTGTCAACGTGCAAACGTTCCATACAATCAATTGATAAACCTCATACTGCCATCAGTTATTGGCTTGATAATATCTTACAGGGCAATTAAACAAACGGAATATAAATATCATATCACCTCTAGGAAAAAGGTTTTATCACTCACATGATGATAGTTAGTGAATTTCTCGATTGGCCATGAATATTAAATCAGAAGTTAGTATTTTATTGTAATTTGCTTAAGTCGGAATTATTTATAGGAGAAACAAACCCGAGACAAAATTACACTTGAGATTTCTTTCACGGTATGTAATTAAGGGATGTGGTATTATTCCGAAGAATTAAATTGTTTTTCAAAGGGAAAATTGAAAAGAAAGCAACACATTATCGACAAAAGACTAGTAAATATTTTAAATGTAAAGGTTTTATCGTATAAAATGTAAGTGCAGAATCTACAAATATTTGCATAACGAAATAGAGAAAATAAATTCGATTGAAGACGAAACATCTTTAAATAACATCATTGCTATTGTTTTATATTGATTTCTAATTTAGTGTCGTAGCCAGTAGTATCAAGCTAATCATTTTACCATAAATCTCTCAATATCTTAGTGCAAACCATCTTGTGAAATTGCTCCGCAAAGCAAATACGTTCCACTATCTGAGCAGACCGGTTCCAATTATGGTCTAAACAGACTAGTGATGAGTGGTTATGTCTGAAATTACGAGAGAACCCGACTGGCTGGAACAAATAGAGGGCTCTGGTTGGTTATAAATAGATTATTTAGGCCCGTTTCATTTAACTTTATCTCTACATTTTATAATGTTTTCATGAGTTATTGATAATTCAATCTGTACAAATTATTCTACTGAGGAACATCGCCTTAAAAGTCAACGGCATGTGAAAATCATTTCAGAAACCCATTCAAACATTTTCTGATCTTTAGTAACTTAAGAAGAAATCGTAAAACAGTTCAAATTACAAGATATTTATAAACTACACTATCATATACATGTTTACAATTCATCGTGTAAACAAAATTTAGGAAAATGCCATTCAAAAAGGGCAAAAGGAATGTTTTATATGTCAAATAATGCTACTACTTCCAATACTACTACTAAATCATTTTAATGTTTTGCTTGTTGGGCAACTACAAGAAAGAAATATATAATGACAGTGAATACTAACCGGGCACTGAGCCTGTATATTGAGCGGAGGTAACTTGAGGCAAGACGACTGAAGGGACAGCAGTTCCAACAACTGGTTGATTTGTATACACTGCGCTAGTATATGTTGTACTAGCTTGACCTGCAATTTAAATTTGTATTATGATCAAAATGTTTTAAAGTTAGAAGCGAAACGTTCACTTGCTATTAAAATGTTTCCGCATAGAAATAGTTGCCGCAGCTGTTTAAGAACGAAAACAGTTTTAATAAATACTTTAAAATACTTTTGGAAAATAAATATCACAAAATGACACGACCTTAAGAATAAATGGTATAACAGTTCTCTATAAAACTAAAATACTGACATAACCTGATGATCAAACAAATCGGTTTAATATGTAATCTTTTGTTTATATTTCTAGGCTATTGTAAAAAATATGGAAACTTTTCAAGAGAGTGAACTTTTCGCATCTCCGAGAAAGCAACACAATATCTTTAATTATTAATCTATTATTTCCAAAAATAAAACAAAAATACGTCAACTACAGCAAATTATTTGAACATATACAAGCATAACGTGTCTGAACATAATTAAATTTGCAACGAATAAATAACTTGTTATATTATATCAAAAAACACAGAAACTAATTGTTAGTATGCGCCTAACTAATTTGGACATTCCTAGTCTTCATCATCATTCTTAATTATTAAAAATCTGCATAAACTGTTTACAGAAAATGAAATACAATACAATATGATCTCGTAATTGCTTTCAAATATTGAAATATTAAAACCAAAATCTGAAGCATAATCGATTCATTATATTTCCCGCCTCTATAGCGATCGAGAAAATTGGCGATAGCATCTATAAACATTGGAAGGTTAGTCTACAGATTCAAATTCCATTTCCTAAAATTGAATATTGTCGTGGGTTATTGATAGAACAAGTGTGATCTGTCGAGAAATAATACACTTTTCCAATGCCTGCTGCCTAGAGATTACAATATAGAAACTTCTGCATCAAATCTGCAACGTTTATCTCTACTTCAGATCAAATACAGCGATTGTTTGTAATTATCAAAAAAGGTATTACAAACATATGCCAAAAATTTAATCATTTATAATTGACAAACGCCATTTATACATAATTTTTTTCCCCTATATGTCTATACATTGTCGTAAAATTTCTTTGGTAAAATATATTTAGAAAAAAAATCACCGGCAAATTTTAATAATAATATTTTTTATTCATTTTTATCTTATTCGGTTCGTTTTTCACAAAATGAAAATTATATTAGTACTTTATTCGAATATGGTGTAGCTTTAGTTCATGCAGCACGAGACAAACAAATAGGAAAAAATAATACAAACAAGAATGTCATGCTAATTACAATACTTAGCAACAATGCAATGAACCAAACTCTTCTTTTTTCCGGAAAATGCGGAGCGACCGAGATGATATTATTTGTATTTCATTTTCATGCAATCATTAAAATTCGTTTTACATATTTTTCTTTCAGGCGTGTTTCGAATTCAATTACTTTATTTCGGTGTGAAATATCTTACTTGAAAATTGAGCGGGAAATGATGGCAAGGGCGTGTAAGCCTGACTTAATGTAGGTTGTACAGGCGTCAATTCCGTTAAATTCCCGCTAATCGGAGTGCCTGGCTTAGGCGACGGTGACGTAGCCGAGCTCGTGTTACTATTTATAGCAGCAGGATTGGTGGTTGATGTGGTTTCAGTATTATTCGACGCAGCTGAAAAGCGGAAACAAAATGTCCTGCAAACTATTGAAGACCTATCTACTAGGTGACTACAGACATCTAGAGCATGCTCTATTCTGAGTATGGATTCTCATGCGGTAACAACATCAAAGGTATGAAAGAAATAGCTAGCATGTAGTTGGAGGAGTTTGACAATGCTATGTTTGTCTATATACAAAGGTGAATGGTATGAAAGAAATGTGCAGACAATAAAGCTTTGAAAAATGAATAAAAGTCCAATGAAAAAAAGAAATCACCGTCTTAAAACAACTTTTAGAAAAGTCGCAATTGCTAATGGAAACATTATTGAGTAATTTCTTGACAGGCAGACATTTTTCATGGGCATTTTTTTCCATATTGACATTGCAGCAAAAAATAAGATGATGACAACAGATAATAAGATTATTTAACTGTTATCTTTTTTTCTGGCTAATGATTACTTTTACAGAAGAAAAATAAATAAAACTTTCTATGACATTGAGTACTTAGCAACATAAATTATATCCGAAATCTTGATTGGACGGGGGAGGGAATAATTTAATCTGCAAGTATCACGTCTGATTTCCGCGTTATCTCTCTAGCAATTTTCTAGTGTAAAGATCTTGTGGAGATCTTGTCGAGAGGCGTGGACCATGATCGGTTTTCCAGAAAACAGTTGTAAATAAAGGTTGCAGAGTGAAATTCCAGAATATTTGATACGCTAAGATATGTCTTAAAATTTGATAAATTGACGGACAATTTGGCAGTTGAGAGAATGTAGTACTGACATTAAGCACTTGCTTCGTTTCATCATTTTGTAGTCCGTATCTAATCTTTTCTTGTGGGTTATATTTCATTGATAGTCATTCTGCACGTTCATCAATTTTAGAGTTAACTAAGCGTTTGTATAAATTTTGATTAATCATACAGCGGTTGATATATGTTATGTTTTCTTATAATCAACAATCACCAGATCAATAATTATTACACAGCTTATTTCTAAAGAACATTTTTTACCAAAAGAAATTATACAACATTCGTTTTGATACTTTGTTTGTTTTTTGTTTTTGTTTTTTTTTACTTATATTCTTTACATTAATAAACAAATGTACTTATATTTTAAAGTTTCTTTTCTTCACCAAATAAACACGTGTGCCTATCTTTTACAGTTTTATTTCTTCACCAAAGGAATCAGTTGAATTCTTTTTTCACCAATTGAATCCGTTGAATTCTTATTACATTACTAAATATTTTTTTAAACAATTTGTTCAAAGAATAAAAGGAAATACAAGCAACTTTGTGCAGATGACATTTCCGGGATGATGACAGAAAAATGATGGTGAAATGGCCTGTCCTGTAATGTTAGGTGACACATCATATGGCATTAACAAAGAACAGATTTTAGTTGAGAGTTATAATAAACTGCTTCTTCTTAAATTAATTGTAGCATGAGAGTAAAGGTTATATTGTATACAATACTGTTATCATTTATTAAGCTTATATCGTTTGCTAAGAATAAATGAAAATATACAAAATTTATTAAATAATAATACAACAAACAACTAGTGATTCTGTCACCATGTTAAACCAAGGCTGATACTATATTCAGCAAAATAACATAAAAATACTAATTGTATTTATAAAAATACAAATGAGATTTTCAATAAATTATTGTTTGGTTGTGTGTTGTTTTTTTAAACATAATCCCAATGTAAGGTTTAGAAGCAGTTTATTACAGATGATGAAATAATGAATCAGGTTATTTCTAAACGATTCCATTGTAAAATACATTGTAATACTGATACTGGCAATGATTCTAACGTCAATTTCATCATTCAAATAATTTTATTGATAGAAAACTCAAAGTCCTCCAATAGAATTCCAAATAAAATAACTACATGCCCTTGCATTACCGTAGTTCACATCTCGGTGTGAGCTTTTTACTGTTCCCACGAGGCAATTAGTTATCACTATTTTCATTAAAGGGCTAATTTCCGTACCGACGGGAGGTGTCCTTTTAACAATTTAGTAAAGATACAATGTATTATAACATGGAAAGTGAGTACCGTTACAGGTGAGATAAGGTTAGATTGGCCGGGAAATGCAACGTATACATGCTTTAAATGATCAATCATAGAAACAAATGGACCAAAAAGGCCAAGTTTCCGGACAAGCTTTCGTTCCTGGAAGTCGGTATTTTGAAACAATAAACAACACAGATTTTATTAAAAGATGAACTTTTTAGCAAACACGTTGCACTTCCGGCTGACTGTATGATCGCAACTACTGTTAAACAAAGACTATATCTATAACATGTTACAGTAAAAACAACAACAAAATATTTAAAATATAGCATCCATATAAAAATATTTTGAATTTAATTTTAATACATTATGAAATGTAAATAGATTAAAGCATCATTGATATTTAATATCTGAAATAAAATTCAGAATTGAAATTTTAGTAGTTAATAAATGAAATATGTTTTATGCTTCAGATGAAATAATACCTTCATAATCGTTACTGTGTGAGTCGGCCTGTCCGTGAATCTCGTGCGGTGAATTACCCTTGTTTTGATCAACTGTAATAGGGTTGGAAGCATTTTACCATGCTGTTAAACTTTCAAATGTTTTTTATCAAATATAGGGCAATTTGTGAAAGTTAAATAAAGTTTACTTTGGTGCTTTTAACGAACTATATTATTTTTAAATGTTTCTACATTCTGTGTACAAATTAATTATTTCTATCGAATATTACTACAGGAAATTTAACTATCACAGATCATTAATATGTTATATGGCCTCAAATTTGTTAACATACATTTGTATAAACATAAATGAAAACGGTACAAAAGCATTTTTGAAAGAAAATATAACTAAACATAAACATTGTACTTAGTAAAATTCTGTTATAATCAAGCTAGAATAACATACTAAAACTTCAATGGGGTAGTACTTCATACACAATGCAAGAAAAGTAACAGTAAGCAATTCTAAACATGCTAGTAAAGAAAGGGTAAAATCATGACATTTCCAAAATACTTTGTTAATAACATAGTTTATATACCTATAGTGGGACTGTATGTGACTGTGGGGGCGCTGTCATTTTGTTGTTGATGATGTTGCTGCATTTGTTGTTGTTGTTGTTCTCTGTTCTGGTCTTCGAGGGTAGGAGAGGAGGTGTACTCTTGTTTTATAGGTGGATTACCGCTAACATAACTTACGTAGGGTGGTGGGTGTAAACTCTGTGCATTGTAAAGCTGACCATTACTACTCATTATAACTGCTTGTGTAGGGTCAGTCATTACTACACCATTTTCTGACCGTGCTGTTTTTGCTGGACGACTATACCAAATCTAAAATCATTACATTTTCATTTATAAATTGTTATTTTTAATTCAACATTTAATTATTCACAATAATGTTATATTTTTCCATTTATTTTAGCAATATGGACATTATAAAGTGTATTGAAATGTGTTGAACTATAATTTACCCCGAAAAAAACCTTTCCCTCATTAATTCTTCATTAACCCGAGACGATAACAAAATTTACTGCTTCCCTATTTGTTAAATATTTACAGGTAAACTGTTCTCAGGCGACTTTATGAGATATTTATTTTTACAGAAGTTCGTACATTTTCAACTTTAGAAATTAGATAATTAGTATTCTCTCGTCTAGTAAAGGGATCGGTAAAGCTATAAATATCATAAATTGATGCAATTACATTTTCATCGTAATAAAACCGCCTGCAATGATAGTAACATTTAGCAATGAAAGCGAAATCTTCATAATTTTGTTAATGTACTTGGTAGATAAATCATTTGAATCACTCTTTAACTACCATATGCTAGTTTAAAATGTCCCCATAAAATGATAAAAAGAACATATTGGAGATATCCTTGTAACAACATAAAACGCTTCAAATTTAATTCGTCAAGATACTAAATGTCTTTGAAAAATTGTAACAGAACAGGAAAAATACTCACGTCCATGTTATTTATATTGTTGTTATTTAAAAGTTGGTCAGCCTTTAATTCAGGATCATGCCCATTTTGAACTGAAATAGAACATAACTTTGTTTAGCAAGCTATTTGATAGTTTTTTATTATCGTTTTGTACAATGGTTTGCTTTTTTGTTGATGATATTGTAGTTATTTGTTGATGATATTGTAGTTAAAGATTATATATAGAATAACATAAAAATGTACCGCAGACTGACAACAATTGAAATGAAAGAATATAGATGTTTTTCGTGTTGTCCCGAATAATTCCGTTTCAGGATGTATCAATTTCCGGTAAAGCGCGTGCTAGTTCGATCACGTGGTTTAGGGCGCATATTTGTCAGACAAGAAAATCGCTTCAAACATCCGGAAATTTATTGAAACAGGGAATGAACACTCATTCGCCGGATGCCGTCGGAGGCTTCAATGTAAAATCCCGCTACAAACATCAACATTAATTTCGTGAATAAAAAACTATATTTACGTCCTTGTGCCACAGACCATCATAAATGCAAATTTCCTTCATTTACAATTTTTGTTGACAATTTTCTGTAATATTAGAGATTAAATAATAAAATCTGTGGTAAAACAATGATGCTCGATTTCATGAGGACTGAGCAAATTTGATGATTTTAGCATAAACAGAGTAAATGACACTGATAGAATTTCACTAAGATGTCAATTAGATCTGGGTCTGTAGTATAAATGTGCTTTATTAATGACAGACTGGTTTATGATTATAAAATGAGAGGGTATGATAGGGTAATAGTCGGCGCTGAAACGCCAGTAGTTTGCTCATTTCACTATAACACAGCTTTACAACCATCAGTCCCATTGCATATGTTTGATGGAATCTAACATTATCACAGCAGCCGTGAAATTTAATTGAAAAGTAACATGTTAATATCGAACACTCAGGTAATTAGCAATTATCTTTGAAGTTAAAATAAAAACATTGGATCAGTGATAGTGTTTATATATTATTCAAACTGAAATAAAATCGAGAGCCGAATCTTATTTTAATTCATAAACATTTAATAGATTACCGCCCGGTATTTTTTTCTCAAATATAATTCGAAACATCGTCAAGTTGAAAAGTCTATTAACAAATCACCCAATTAAAATGCATGAAAAATATAGAAAAGCCTGATTTATTCACGAAATCCGAGGGATTAGAGCAAGCAACCCTATGCTCGCGGGAAGTTACCAATTTTTTTTTCAATTAAAGTATTTCAAATAAGTGAAATAATGGCGTAAACATTCTACCGGTGCAAACATCGATAAGTTTGATATTGATGCCCACTGTTCGTATAATTTAGTACATTCTCAACGGTGTGGATTAGAGATTGATGAAGTGACAGTGAATGGCGGTGCTCCTGTGCACTCTTTTATGAAATGTGTCGCTTTGTACGCGGATGAATACTGGTATGGAACTCCATCCTATTAACAGCTGAATAATTCACAAGGCTATTTTACTAGGATCAGGGTCCTGCTGGGTAGCTTCAATTCAATATCTACACGACATATACAAATGCTTTTATATTGCATGAATAAATATTTTATTAGATCTTTAGGAAAAATACGAAATTGGATATTTTCTGATAATATTGAAAGGTGTGATAATACAGCAATATTCTTTAACAAAACTGAAAAAATATAATATCTGCCAGGAAGAAAAGTGTAACATTGTTTATATTTACCGTTTTCGTCGTGCTTTCGTTTCGTTCCTGTATTGCCGTTGTGATCGGTGAGTGGGGAATTTCCTTGTGGAGGAAGACCCATTATTGCGTTGATAGAATAGGTTCCACCTTGACCATTAGGTGAACCGTGGGGAGTACCACCTTCCCCAGATACCGGAGAGCTTCCATCCTTCGACATCCGAGCATTGTCGGACGCTCGATTCCGTACAATCCTACAATATAAAATATATCTATGATTACAAAGAAAACTTGTTATTTACCTACACTACCTGAAACATCACTAGATATACTAATAACTCCTTGAAATACATATTAGTGTTATTAATTTGCAGAAATCATTTTATTTTCAAAGTATGTTCGCATATCCTCAATTCAAAAGTTATGTATGTCAATCTTCAAAAGACATTCAGATACAAATTTCTGTGATTTTCTCAAATTATTTCAGTTCATTCATAAAAGTAATTTTGTGTTTGACAAATATTATCTCTATTCATGACGTAAAATAAAAAAAACAAATAAAATACAATATTGTTCAATAGTGCAATGTTAATGTTCATTAAAATCATTATCTATATAATTGTAATGCGGTTGGCCACGAAACGTTCAAGTATTGTCTTAAACACATTAGACAGTGCAGTATTTGTTTAGCAAGTACATTAAATGTTCCGTCGCAAATACCTAGCATATCTTCTACGAAGTGTGGTGTAAACATTATTGTGAGATTGTCTGGAAATTCGTTTTAAAACAATTTACGTTTCAACGTCATCCAATAACCTATTGTACCCCATGAATAGAGGTAATTAAACTAGACTGCACGCGCATTGAGACCTATCCCCGGGGATTTAAGTGCTTTATGTAAGAAAACCCCTTGTAGTAGTTTTGCTTTTAACATTTACCATTTTCACTCAATGAGAAAAACATATAATCCACCCAGTATTTCTGCCTACAAAAGAGCAATGATGGCAGTGTTTCAGCACTCGTATTTCCTACAACTGTTCACAAAACAGCTCTAAATCAGCAAGTGCTAATGCATTGTCCGTGTCTGACACAGCGGGGGTCTCCAGCCAAGCAACAGTAATACCTTCCGTTAGAGACATTAACTGAGCTAGAACCTTTAATGATTTCATCTAAACTACTCTTACTTCATGTAGTTTATTCAGATGATTGGTTTTTAGAAATAGACTTGACGATGCCTTTAAATGGCAAACAAAACAGTATTCAATAATTTCTTGTTTCACCAAAGATTCTGTTCATGCATTGCATATTTTTTTACTATTTTTGTGAAAGATTTACTCTCGATTCAGAAGACATACATTTTCCATATTCTCACAAATTAACTGTTTATTTCTGATATTTTAATTAATAAATTTGATTAAATAGTTGACTCTGCAAGGTATGATCTTCCTTTTACACAGATTTTCAAATTTAAACATCGTCTTAACCGGAAAAACAAGGAGAGAAAATTAGAAAAATGTTGTATGAGTAATCTTAATTCTAATAATCTTAATAAAACTTGTAACATCTTATCTGTTAAGGTCTTTACAATCAAAGAATGTCCTATCGTTTACCTGTTGTATTTAGGATCAAAATTTCTCTAAGAGCTATTCAAAAAGCGGAAAAACACTTTAAATGTAATCGGAACAATCTCTTGTGAAATATAAAGACAAACCAAATTATTTTGCGACACCTTCAATTAAGCAAGAAAACGAACGATCAGCAAACAAAAGAAAATATGTGCTTTTGTTTTATAATGTATGTTTATTCTCAATCACACGAAATCGATACTAATGAACAGTCTTAGAGGGTAAAAGGGCAATTGTGGTTCTAGATTTTTAAAAAAGATAACAGGTGTACAATTAAAGTTCATATGAGAATCTATGCTTTAGAAAGCGCTGGTAGACTTGTGCTTTGAATGAAAAAGACAAATATTAAAGTAATCTATCACCAATTTCAAACCTTAATGTGATTTGACACGATTTTTTACTCCTTGTCATGGTTTTTGAAACTTAAAAGACGCATTTGTTTCTGTATTCGTAAATATATATGTTATCTTTATTTTCACTATTTTAAGTTAAATACGATTCGGAGAATTTTCTTCTATGTCCATCCTATTTGTAAAATGAATTCGTACCCCTTGAGGATCAGAAATCGAATAAAAAAGAAACAATAATGAGTTTTAAATATAATAGATAGTGAGCTTCTTTTTTAAGAAGGTCCAAAAGAGTGAGATACCTTGAGGGTAGCAAAAATAAATATGCGAATATTGTAATTCGGTTCACGACAGATAATGTAAGTCGCAATATCTATCTGACCCCTAACCAGTTTTAGCAGTGTTTATATTTTAAGACGTCAAATTCTTACATAAAATTATCGTGAAAGTAAACTTTGCATTCTCCTTTACAGTTGTATAAAAATTATCTGTTTGAAAAACAAGTATAAAAGACACCTAATATTTTTCAATATACACATAAATGAATTGAGATAAAACTAGAAATATGTTCATAAGACACATATATCTCTATATTCCATTGTCTATGGACGGAGATACTGACAGTAAGACGGACGGAGAATAATTAATAGAAATAAAAAACAAACAGTTGAAATTAAATTAAAATAAAACTGAATAAGAACTGCTTTATATAGGTCAAATTACGGTTAAATTGATGATTTGACCCGGATGGCAATTGGGCCGATGGTGTGCAACCAACTGCTTTAGATCATATATCAATGGTGCTTTATTCGAAATTGGCCAACGGTGTGCATCCAGGTGAGTGATATCTTGTATCAAATGGTTGTAACGTTACAAGGCGACAAATTTCACAGGCAACCTGCGCTCCAATTGATAACAGAATACGACTAGTGATGCACATAATGAACTCAACTAGCGTGTAGTTTCCCATTCATATAATCCTAAAACAACAACAAGCTTTGATGAGGAGGTAAGAAAATAAATATACCATAAAATTACAAATAAAACAACTAATTAGGAAAAAAGTTACATAATTATCATCTGCGTGGGTGATATAAAATAACATATACTGTATGGGGGAAAACGTAAAATACGTATGGTAAATGATTGCTTTTGTTGTTGTTTTAAAATAACACTTAAGTTTAGAAATGTTGCGTTAAGAAAATAAGACAAATGAGAGAGAAAAATAGGGAAAAGTAGCTACAGTGAATTTGTAACTGTACTAGTTTCAAAGTTCAATTATTTGAGAAAATATAAATTATGATAATAACTGTTTGAAGCAATCATTATGAATATCTTCACCAAACTTAAACTTTATGCAGTATAGATAATATCTTGCACCATGATAAAATTTAAATGCCTTTCTAAAAGCTCTCACTTTCTTCTAAAAAAATACTTTAAGGATTAAAAAAACAAGACCCATTATCACCATATACGGATGATAAAGCAAGAGTCCCCCTTACGTTAAATTGTTATTAAATGTTAAACGCGTCCCAAGTTATGCCGCTCCTCACAAAAACAGATGTAATAAAAGCCTTGGTTATTTCACACTATGATAATAAATTAGAGGTAAAAGTTTGAAATATTTACATGTCATTTCGATGCAATGATTTTGATTACATACATTTAGCGAGATCTGATAAGGGCCAAATAAAGATGGCGTACGCTCTTATCACGACGATTTACTACCAGAAGTTTTCCTTTGAACATGTAATAATGTAACTTTCACGAGAACTATTATTTAAATTCGCGGTCGCTTTATGGTAATATTCTCCTAGAGCAAAATGTCAGACCTGCCTCACAGCTTATTTAACAAAATATTTGTATGCACTAGGCTCTGAGAACATGTAAACTTCGTACAACTTCAAAGGCCGTATCAAAGACGTTTGATCAAACCAATCAAGCAAACAGACCAATTACCAATCAAGTTGTTTTCCTGAAAATGCAACTTTCTTTCTACGTCCAATTACATGAACAGTACTATGGCTTCATTGCAGTGATTTTACTGCATTATTATGCAAAACATGGCATGGAAATAATTACAAGTTTTTATAACAATCTATGCGAGAGAAAAACATGGCATGATTTAAAGTTCTTTCTTAAATGCACCAGTTCTGCACTCCAAATACAAGCGGCGACAATGTCTTTAACAGTTTTCTAACGTTATTAAATTAAAAATAAAAATTTAAAAATAAATAAACTCAACCCAAAAAGTAAAGATTTTTTTCATAGCGTCAAACTCATGTTTTCATTTTATGTAAATATTGAATGAAATGACTATGAAACTGAAACTATTGTGTAGGCGCGCATCATTAGAGATTTTAGGGACGGGATTGATGAGCAAAATATATAGACAGGTGTTTGTCAATGTTGCGTATGAAATGTTCACTAAGAAGCGTTCATGTCACTTCTGCATGAATGCAGTCAAATCGTCCCAATGTGGCTCCTTGTGGCTCTGTGTGGCTTGATTTAATTGGTACGGAGTGATGTTAGAAGAGCGAACAATGGTCGTAATATTGGTGCAAAATGTAATCAAACCTTGAGCACATTCTTGGCCAATAATGGCGTTGTTAACGCGTAATTTGGACAGACGGTGCCGCCGTTAAATTGTCTTTATTTGCCGCTTATTTACATCAACCTCATACTTTTCGTCAAATCTAATATTCTAGGGACAAAATTTGAAATATCTCGTTTGATCCTGAAGACAACTCGACGAGAAAAGGAAACTTCTATGAAGACAACTTTGACAGCTCACATTGTCTAATATATTTCAGTTTTATAACTGCATGCAAGCTCGAAGCACATCTGTTATGCTAATCATTATTTATCTAATTAGAAAAACATTTAGACCCCTTACAAGTTTCCAACATATCCCATTGTAATTATTGGGTATCACTTGCCCATTATAGATGCTGTTTTCTAAGCAATTAACAGGCAATGTGTGTTATAGTCTATTAAGTAGTTTAGTGCATTCTTGAAATGAAAAGATAAGTTGTTAAACTGTTGAATGAAATAAGATGCTTAAATAATCATATTTGTAGATATATGTGAGTAAAATACAATATTTCGATCATTAGGTGGAAACACGGCAAGCAAAAGCAATTCATTAAAATGATCATACAGGATGATAAACTAACAAAAAATGAGGAAACGAATAAAAAGAATTGAATACATAAAGATATTTGTCTTGCTACATATATGCCTCACAATAGTTACATCAGAATTCTTTGAAAATCATAAACAAAACAAATCTAGAAATGTCACTCTCTTGGATGAGTTGTATGCCTCGGACAAAAAAAATGAAGAATGAAAAAGAACAGTAAACAAAGAGATATTTTTGGGGTTTTGCACTTCCATTTGTAGACATCTATACACCTAAGGTTACAAGTTGATACCTCCAATATTTTTCAGTAACGCCCTATAAAGGGGAGGATTTTTCTCTTCGTGCACATTTACGTGTAAGAACAAACAACATACATAAGTTTCGCAGTAATCCATCAAGAACTGTAGGAAGAGTAACGTTCACGATATTGTACATGTTTGGGCATATTGAGCAACCAACCGACATGCTGACTCATTCTAACTTTGTTTTTCTTCACTCACCTGTTAATTGAGCTGACACTTGGTACATTGTCATTAGAACAGACATTCTCTGCTAGTAACCGATCCCGAATCTCCCAGGCAAACATCGTTGGGTTTTCAACTTTATACCTAGTGATAGCATCGACAACTGCCGGAGTGGCCACCTTAGGTTTTGAACCTCCAATGACACCTGGTTTTATAGATCCTGTTTCATAGTACCTGATTTGAGAAATAAATGGCATTAACTTAACATATGTTTAATACTAATAATAAAAGAATAGTAAAGTCATCTAGAAATATATAAAAAATTGTTAGTCCAGACCTATGAGATGCAAAGGATATTAAAATTTGCAAAAATTTAAATTAGGAAAACATGATAAATAAGTAACAGCAAAAGGTAATGTTTTACATTAAAGGGCATATTTTCATTATTGCAATAATTCATTTTAATTTTTTACACATTAAATAGCTATTATTCCATGCGATTGTTAAATAATTTAGTTACGAGGTGTGGTAACATGAGTTGCTTGCACTTGTTTTTTATATAGTGATAATGTCATATCATACTCTATACTGGAGCTTCAAATATACTCTCAAATGAAAGTATAAAACTTGTTCAAAAAAGAAGAAACTATTAATCATTTGTAGGAAAATTACCCCGATGTACTATTTTTTTTTAAATATTAAATCAGAAATATCCATCTGTAAAAAATCACCTCAATTCAAATCGACTGCTTTCAATCAGATATAATCTAATTACATTGGTATTTGCATAGTAATATGTCATTCTAGACTTCTTTTAACTTCGCGATAAGGGATTTGTCAATATCAATCTCGTTTCTAAATTCATTAAAATTAGTACTTTTTCATTGAAGGTGCAACATTCATTTTAATTTTTATTCTAATCATATCTCAAACTTTACTCATAACTACAACACCTATACTGACTGGTGATTCAAATTTTTCATCGTTGGTGTCCTAACGTTAAGTTATTGTAAACATTGTTCAAACCATATAACATCTGTATAGCTGGTCCACAATGCCAGTATAATAACTCAATTGACAAAACAGATTGGAAACGGAGATTATCAAATTCCTTAATTGCTACATCATCACAAGATATGCCATTCCTTTGTTTAGGACATGGTCAAAACATATCCCTTGACCTCTAACCTGAAGTGACCTTATGGGTATAGATTCAGAAAAAAATGAAAAAGATATGTTTGCAAAACAAGTAAAACACTATCTAACGGAAACACTGTACGCTTAATTAGTGAAATACAAGAATAAAACTGGTTCTCCGTTAAGTGAACGAGCACCTAAAAGATCATTCATTGGGGCCATTCAAAAAAGGGGTTTCTGTGCATAACTTATGAACGGGATAATTTATCAGTGGATGGTTTGCTGTTATTTTGACAGGCTGTATTTTGTAAGAAAAGACAACGTAAAGTAACATGAGAAAACGGTTGCTTCAATAATTTCAATAATTACTAGTTTGCAAATAAATACATCATGTTGACCACAAAGAACATAGAGAGGCGTTCGGTACATGTTGGACAAACCAAAGCGTTTACTGCACCTAATTCTATTTGGGTATTTAGTTTCAGTGTTATATAGCACGCAATCGTCTTGGGTAGCGGTTAAAATATTGTTTACAATATTTGACTTTCCTGAAACAATATATCACAGGGATTAAAGTATTTCTTATATCATGGGGATTAAAGCATTTCATAGATCCCTTACTGTTGTACTATCTCAAGACCTGAAAGTGGTTTTTACAAATGATACATTATCTTTATGGTATCTTTGGTGGTGAAGCGCTTGTGGTCAAACACACAAAAAGTGTCCACGAGCGTGTCAATTTAAAAGGCAATAATAACTTGAAGTAGTTTTTTTACACATTCAAAGTTTATCTCATTAAGAAAACAAATCTTGTCTCTGCTATTATTCTCTTTTCTCATGAACAATTAAATAACAAAACTAGTTTAGTTTCTTATGTAGTATTTCGGTTTTTATTTACTTAAAAGTTTGTTAAATCATTGTAATATTCTTTTAATTTAAATTGGAATGAATTCAAGTTTAACAGCCTGGAAGTTTATGTATTTATAGAATGAAGTTATAAAAACAAATATTAGATCAAAGGCAACATTAATTTCCTATGACGAAAACTTAATTATGATATATTTGTCGACGAGGTAGAGTGAGGTCCCAACCATCTGCTGTATAACTTACGATGGTCCAAGGCTAGGACACTATGACATAGTTATAAAGGAGATACTTTGTGTATTATTTCATATATTACGTTCACGTGGTCAGTAAGGTATTTGACATGTCACATACAACATTTTTATAGTCATAGTATGTGTTATAACAATGGCTGTTCTTGTCAAAATCTTACACAATTCACTATCGTTTACGTTACCATACAATGGCAATGTATTTAATTAATGAAATTTTATTACAAAATTGTTTCGTAGAATCTAACTGCGTCTTATCAAATTTTATTCATATCTATCTGCTTACTTTTCATAATTAATCAATAAAAAATTCTTACTTCAAAGCATGAAATATCAAAACAAAAAGTCAAACACAATTAATAATTTAATAGTAGTGAAAATATGTAACTGTATTTTATGACTGGTATTGTTGGTCGGCATTAAAACACAACCCGTACTATAATGAAATAAAATGTCAAATCAAAGGTTAACCTGTACCGATGTACATGTAAATGTAATTTATCAAATTCTACTAGTATCTCACTCTCTATATTTCTAGCAGATAAAACAGTCTGAAATCATTAAAGATAAAAGAAAACAAAGCACAATGTCATGCTTGTAACGATGGTTTCAGATTGATTTCTGTCAAGTTGTAAAACAGAGCGTTTCTCTTAATACCTTTCGCGTAAAACAATTGTCATGCGATACGCGATTAATTGATGCTGCTCATGCAATTGGTTTGTTAGAATACAATTTTTTCCCGTATTTCTTTCGGGAGATTTTGAGATATGCCTGAAATGTGTTTACAGCGAAAAATTATGTAACAAAAAGAACGAAGGGTAATAAAATAAAGCGTCAGGGCACAGTGAACAAAATATATGACATAAACTTCCTTTGTAAAAAAAAGAACTTTCGAAACAAAATTTACCTCAACATGTACACAAACCCTCTTTATATAATATGCTTTCTAAAGAATTTCAGAACCTGTAATTGTCACGTATAACATTGGAAGCCATTATACCTCCAATGCTTTACTGGACTAAATTAATGTATTTGTCATTGTTCTTCTGAATAACTTCTATTTCTAAATATTACACAAAGAATATACAAACAAATACTTGATGAATACAAGTTCAAATGGTAAGTATACGATGTCATTATTGCACTAGTCTACGAAATTTTAATTTATATTCGGATCATTCTTATATAAAAAATAATATCATATTTTATTAGTAAAAAATGTAACAAGTCTAGATGCTAACAAATTTAAAGAATTAATATATAAATAATTATTGGGTTTGATGTATAATGATATAAATGAATGATGAGCTACTATATCCAATTTATATTCCCTTCTTACATAGTCTGATATAATCATTTAATTTCTTTCTAATTCAAAAGATTAAATTTAGATATAAACTTTATACAACTAAGAATTTTGAAATATCTTTAACCCACTTTTTATTGTAAATTATTTACTTATTTTAACATCTATATATGCTAAAAACAGAATACCAATGCGAATTTAACTGCCTTTGTCTTTATCCTTTTAGGGAATTTTAACGGTAACAGAGAACAATCAGAAATATATAGAAGTATTTCAAAGCAACAAGGCGACGAAGTTATAAGTATCATCATAAGATGTGACCAACTTCGTGTTGGTGAAAGAAGAATTAACTTTAAAAAAATAGTATATTATTTATCATTGGATCAATGTAGCCGGCTGTAATGGTGTGATACAGTGTGATATATCAGACAAAATGTATACTGAATTTATTATGTCAATATTAGCACTATAGATACAGTACATCAAGATAAACAGGTGTTCGAGAAAACATGTGTTCAATTTTGTTAAGATATATAGATTGGGTGACTTGATAGACCATTCTTCTGCTACAACCAGCTTTACAACCTTCCTCCATATTAATACATGCTACACTGTATAAACTACTTATTTATAATACATTGAATATGTGAGGTTTTGAATTTTTTCTGGTATATATTTTTGGACAGATTAAATACAGAGTTGGTAAATACAAATACATCGTTTGTAAGCCACGAATTTATAAAAATGTCATTTGAAAAAATATAAAAGGTCATCAGAGAGCAACATTCACTCAATGTATACAGTAGGAAAGATAGCTCACTTTGTTTGTCCATACCTGCCGAGTATCTTACTAACACAGCCGTGTGAAACTCTAAGTTGTCTCGAGATATCACACGGCCGGACCCCAGTATGAGCCAGCTCTACAATCCTTTGTCGTACCACGTCAGGCAATGGACGCCCGTTAACAAACACACCACCAAGTTGATTCACTCCACCATGACCTGAAAATACATATAAAAATACATTAACATAGATAGTCTCGATGTTTTGCTGTATATAAATATAAAACACATTAGCTTATATTGTTTCCATGCTTTGTTGTAGAACAATAATTAACAATCCTTAAATATGTCAACTGTTATGAAGATTTGAACTATTATTTATCGTATTTATTTATTCTAAAACATTTAAATAAAAGCAAAATGAAAAATATCTTAGAAAGAAACTGTATTACTACATGGAATAATATTGTCTACAATATTTATGAATGAGTTCTTATGAATAAAAATGTATCAATATTTTTGTCATAAGAAATGAACACTGAATAACAAACAGTAAGCGGACAGTTTTAAACAAAGATATAAGAAATGATAAGTATTTCTTTAAATATCAGACAAAACAGACGCCAGTAGACTTCCTCTTTCATCTGGATAATGCTATTTTCAACGAGATCGTGTCTGAGGTATATATTTTTCTACTTAGTATTTTGCATGAACTAAAATGTGACGGTCTCTATGATATGAAATATAATGGAAAAGAGGCGTCGAAACATTTCACATTTTTGCCAAAATATAACAATTTCGAATAAAATATTTATTAAAATGTTGGATACGAAAACAATTAACCCTTTGAAATTTATTCAGAATCATAAAAGTCACAATAAACAATAGAAAATGAGGCAGATTTGGTAGCAAATGTCTAAAAGTTCGCTAAGATTTGTTCTGTATTATGAAACGGAACTACAGACATTTAGTTTACACACACCTCGTATATTTCTCTAAATCATTGTTATTATATTTTATATATGCCATTTTTCAAACTTAAACAAAGGCCGACAGACTTGGCTTATAATCAACAAAATAATAAATACGAATAGCACTGACATTGAAGAGGGGTATTAATATTTTAGTACTTTTGTTTGATATCATTAAAATAATTTATAAAAATGTCAACATAATATTTTTTACTTTTTTGTGACCTTTGTTAAATAGTTGACAATTGTGCTAAATATTTGGACAAATCTTTATTTTATTCAAGTTTTCGATTAATTTAAGACATTCTAAAATGTTTAAACTTATTTCAGAAGTTAAAAACAACAAAGAATATGCATTGACGTTGTATGTTTACATCATTGTAAATTAAAGTGTAACTAATTTTTGTCCTCAAACAAATATTTCAAATTTAACCAAATTTTGCAATGCACAAAATAACAAATAGTTTGGAATAAAAGATAATTGTCAAAGTTATATATTTATTTATTTATATTTTTATAGGACCTCTAACTTTTATTTAATGTTGAAATTACTCTTTTCCCATCAATAAATAAACTAATTTACATTTCAGTGGAAAGCTTGTTGAATTATTTTGTTGTATTACATATTGAACAACAATTCCTTCTCGGTTGCTGGACTGGTTTAGAATATTCAAACGTTTGTTTAACTGTTCTATATTATCTCATATATCATACAACAAAACAAAGTCTTTTGTATTTTCAGCGACAGTTCATGTATATTTAATGATTTTAAACACATTATACTGCTCTCAAAACAGCTTTAAACAATCACATAATCATACCAGCATCCATATCATACAGAAAAAAACAAGTGCACTGCTTTTTTTACAATTATACAACAGTGATAAAGGGAATGAGCGAAGATTTACCGATCTCGGTGTTTATTAATTTACAAATAATGAAGAGAAAGTACGGCGTTAGATTTGATATAAAGTAATCGATATGCTGTATTAATATCTACGGAATCATCTCACTCACTAATTGTATCTGTTATATTTTATGTATAATGTGTATTATCAGCCTCATCTCTACTCATGTAAAATCATTTACAAAAGTGTTGCAAATTATGCGCAAACGTCACCACGATGCATTACACCAGCAACTCAAACTGAATAATTTTCATGATTTAAAAAAGACGACATTCAATTAGTTAATAAGACAGAAAACAATTACGTATCGAGGTGGTACAATAAAGGCTTTATGCAAATTTAACAACTTCTAATTTGATGCAATGAATCACTATTATAAACGAAATGTTAACCAATTTATTCCAGAAGGTAAATACCACACATTTTGTAAAAATACACTTCCAACAGACAACGTACCATCCATAAAATTTCCCTGGAACATGTCAAATCCTCGAGGGTAGGGATGGTAAGGAGAAAATGAGGTGGGTGATGGATAGGGCGCCCACGCCTGCTGCATGGGTGCGAATCTCTGATCCATTGTCTGGCCCTGTGGGTATCCGGCCATATGCTGGCTCATGTCAAACACTTTTTCCATATTTAGAATTGAATTAAATAAATAAATTACAACCGTCCAAATAAATAAATAAATAAACTCAGAATAAAAATAAGTACTCCATATATAGAAGTAAAATCACAAGAATCACTTAATCCTGATAGTGTCGATCAAATGGAACAAGTAAACATTACTGCTGACAAAATGCGAACCCAAACTTGTCGGGGTTCAATGCACACCCGCGTGGTGAACATTCAAACAGTCAATGATTGGTAGATCATCATCTATACTAGTTTAATACCCTTGTGTTTTAAACAATCGGCTACTCTTTTCAGTTCTAAATGGCATGCGTAAACTGTTTATACAAGCCACAGTCAACGTGCTGTCCCGTAATTAACAGATAGTCTTAAACTAAAGCTCAAAATATCTGAAACTGACACCCTTCAAGTTAACCGATTACACTATTCATGAATAAAACTCCAATCACAAGTTGTCACAAGTCTTTGACAAAGTTAATCTTAAAACAAAGGATTTCAAATACATTCTGATAAAGTCATATACGTAGACGAAACTAGAAAAAAATTCCCGTATTTGTTGTTTATTCGTAAAAAAGTATTTATTTCATTTAAGTTTTAGAATTGATGAAGCAGTCAGCATCATATTTTGATGTAGATAACAATAATATCCAATAGCTCAAATCAAAGAACTAACAACCGTATCACTGGTTAACACCTCAATTGACAGTCAAGCTAGCTACCAAGATTGGGTAGCTGATTGGAAAATTGAATTAACTACTCATATAAATGTAGCCGCTCTATGGAGCGCTGCTTCTATTAACACTCCTCTTATTTTCTGCTCTGTGACTCAGGCAGCTATGGGTGGCTGGACAGGACACGGGCGGTAAACTAACTGGGATTCTGTTCAGCAGACCGACAGTTGGTACAGAAGGAGAAAAACTATCAACTTTGGTCCCTCTTCGGCAAATAAATTCAACTAACTTCTCTCGGTTCATTCATGGAGTCGTCTTTAAGTACAGTTACTTTCTTCTTATCAATTTTAATATCTGCACTTGCACATGTCATATTCTCTTGATTTAGACACACAGAATGATCCACTTTCCAATTTTAATGTTGGTTTTCAAAGAAGCTGATCAAGATGCTTTTAACTTAAATCATAAATTTCCTGCTCTCGTGAACAATATAACTTTCCCTGTTATTGACTCCCTGTCATGCCAGTATTAAACACAGTATGGTTTTCTCAGATTCCGGACAAAAGTTTGTTGAATATTTTAACACGGGAGTATCCTGAATGTCAATTAAGGTGAAGAGGAGAAATGACTGATGAGTACCGATAAAATCTCACTTTCTACCATTAGCGTCCACAAATATTAAAACAGCTATACAGGTTAAAACTTCAAAGGACTTTCCAAAAACCACGTTGAACGAAATGTTACCGACAAAATGTTATCAATAAATATGATGATTCATTCAAAAATTGGTGTAAATAAAAATGATATCCTTTTGTATAATTTTCAGCCAGGCTCTTTTTAATGGATTCAACATTCTTAAAGGAAAGTAAAATTTGATATCAAAGGGAAAGAAAACGTTGTTTTACGACAAATTATCGCAGTAATCGTTGGCTATCAAAAGTTTGAAAGTTAAAGACTCAAACAATTTTGTTCAATTTACATTTATCGGAGCCAATTTGAATACTTCTCTTTTTACCTAAAGATCGAATCGGTAATATTTTTTTATAAGAATACAGGATTTATACCATATGTGATACATGAAACTATTAGATAAAATCATCCCCAATGGCAAGATGAACATGCGGAAACTAGCGTTAAATGTCTCTAAAATAAATAGGTTCCGCATCAGACCTGAAAGTCACTAGAATCTAATGAAGCGTGTTTTATTGGCTGCTACATGAAAAACACGTGATCAACGTATCCTGGACGCAGCTTTGTCAGGTTGCTTTTTTTATTCTTCGAACTTGTTAAATATTTAAACATTTTAATGCATTTACAAAAACAAACTAATCATAATAATTTAAGCTGCACAAAAATAGTTTTAACGATAATAAGATAATTATTATTATTATTACTATAAATTTTATTATTATTATTATTATTATTATTATTATTATTATTATAAAATGAAATTAAATTGAAATCATTGCTATTTTCCATCATTTATTTTTTATTTTTTGAATTTTACTATTTTATATTTGCATCTTCTGGAAAAGAAAACGACTGTTACTGTGGTATTTTATATGTTTCACGCATGTGAAAATATTTCTATTCTTTTAGAAGGTAAATTTTTGACATTTATTACAAAACGCAATAAACATTTATAAAATGAATGTATTCAGAAAATTTGACGTGAAAAGAGGTGAAAGTTGTCCCGCTGTATTTATATGGTCAGTTTATTACTTTGATGAAGAGACAGGTCATTGTTCAAAACCATCCGTGGACACTGGACTTAGTTACCGCCATGACAACAGCGGTTATGATTGATAATTATTTGCAGACCACAATATGTTCTCCTTTACCTGAGACAGAGGGGCATCATTGGCAAAACTGGTCTACATATAAATGTAAGAAATCATTTTTATGAATTAAAATATATGGGGATGTTCACCTCTAAGGTGACAAGATAAAATGAAAAATTATACAAATCCTGGTAAATTATCTATTTGAGTCTACGCGGCGAAACACCTTCATCTTTGTAACTTTGTAAAAATGTGGTA